GTTTTGGGCTTTAGTCCTCATAAGTACAGGGGTGGTGTCGATTTCATAACATCCGACGAGAGGGGTTTAAAATTCGATCGAATTTACCGTGAAAGTGTTTAAGCCTGTGAAGTTGCAAGGGCCGATATTATGCAATAATAAAACACAAATATGCCGGAAGATGGTATTCTTGTACCTAAAGTGTCACCTCTCCCCTTAATTATTCCTCAGAACGATGTATTGTTTTATCACCCTGGTTAAACATTACTAATGAAGAATGAGCCACAGCGCCAGTTTTGGTATATTCAGAAAAAATATATAATTTACGTACATGAATATCATCCTCACGAAACTTTATGTTTAATTATTGACTGAAACCGGCCTTTGCTACCTCATCAGCTTTAACATCTATTTGATAAATTCGACGTAAATTCGCTCTCTTGTATGATGTTTTGAAATCGAAGCCGCTCCTGTGCTGATGAGGGCTAAAGTCTGAAACCATGATAGACAGGTTGACTGTAAATTAGAATAATTAAAATATATAATATATTTTTTTGATATGCCGAATATTTGAATGAGCACCAAATTTAGTATAATAAATTTTAATAAATGCAGACACCTTTATTTTATAACGTTCTATAAAAGAGCATGAAATTCAACTCAAACTATCAAAAAGATATTGAAACTAATCAAGTTAATTTTATAGTCACTCAATTTGTCACATCACACGGAAAATGACAGAAATACTTACATAAAAGAGGTCTATCAGAAACACCAAATTGTTCCTTCGGGAAAAACTTAAAAAACTGTTCCTCACCTTATCTACGACTGTCCGAACTCTACAGAAGTGAGATATCGTTTGTTCCTTGATCTAAATAATTTAAATTTCTTACATCTGCCACTTTGTCTATATAAATTTTTGGAATCCTGTCGATTAATACATGTAAATTCGTGAATATTTATTTATGAGTTTCATTTTGTTTGTTGTTTAGTTTATTTCCTCTATAATAGGCGCAAATATTTCAATATATCGCGCCTGGTAGATTAATAAATAAATAAAATAAAACTGATGAAGTGATAGATATTAAACCTGAATGCATCGAAAATTGCTGGAGGATGATAGTGGTGCGCAAAAATCCCGTCTTGCATTGATGTATGCCATAGCTCGAAACCACGATATACAGGTTAGAATTTTATCGCCTTAATTTGCCAAAACTACTTGTTATGCTCATTCAATTATCTTAATTTGCACGTTCTGCTCATAGACTAAATCAATGAATGGTAATGAGAAATTTATTAAGAGGGGAAGATGCTTTTTTCGCATAGGAATACTATATATATTATAGTTTATGTGATTGTTCATTATAATAAAATTACGTGTTAGAATCCTCATTTTAAATAAGGAAAAATATTTTCATACTCTCACCTTCTTTCTCTAAAATCAACATATAAAATTTAAAATTGAAAATCAAAAGGGGTAATATGCTAATGTAAAATGGTAATTCAATAAACCGGCGACTAGCTAATAGGCACAGATGGGTATGCAGTAAATAAGGTGGCGACTAAACCCATAAAGACATCCAGGGCCATTGGTAAAATTGAAAGCTGACCTTACCATCGGCCATTTAGGAGAAAGAGAGAGAATAACGGCTCTAGTCGTATTTCTTAACATGTCTACATCATTACTGCACAACCTCTTTGGTGGTTTCTTCAATCTCTTTCTCAGGTTTATACACTAAGTCCCATATTCCGATGTCATATTTATATATATACTGATTTAAATTATTGTGAATCTTTATTCAAGGTGAATACTCTTCACCATATGATACACAAATATAATATAAATAAATTATATATACACATAGATTCTCCATATATATACCGTTGGGTATTATCTATTATATAAAAATAGTAATTGTTTTAAAATTCTGCAAAAGAAATATCTGATTTACATCAGACCCATAATACATTTTCTTTTTAGAAAACTCTGTTCACTTTTAAAGAAATGCAATTTTGTCATTATTTTCGGCTCAAATTAGTAATAATTTCGAAGGGAAATGAAATGAAACAAATGAATGCTTTGTATGGCATTTTACGAGGCTCGTTGTGTACAGTCAATGGTGTAGTTCACTGCTCGACATCAATCAACACATTACAAATATGGTTTGACGCTATAGTGCTCTAAATACGAGTCATGGTTGACTCTAATAACGTTATCAATGATGTCCCAAATAAAGATGCATATTTTGGTATGGAGTGTGTGGTTTCACTGGTTCGACAAATTTGGAGCTGTCACCACAACGACTCCCGTTTTTGAGACAGACGCGTGACTATCTGAGAATATGAATTTCTGCCATTGCGGCCTCGATATCATTGAAATAATTTGGACTAGTGGAGAAGAGGACTGCATTGGGGTACAATCCTGCCGAAGCCCTTTATAATTTCTGAACTAGCGAGTGAAATTTCAAGCGAACTCGAAGGTTTCTTCTGCCTTCGAAAGATTTGCAGGTGTAATTCCACGAAGGGTAGAAACAGGGCGATAAAGCACAGTTAGAAGGAGAAAAACTAATGGTTCACGTTGCCAATGCGGAATGAAGTTCATTGAAGACGCCTGTCAGCGGAGACTTGTTTTGAAGGCCAGAGCCACCTAGTCAGATGTTTACGGGTAAAATTATAACTCTGAATCGTTGTGTTTATCGGGCATATATATTTGACGCATTTCACATTTCACTCAAATCTTTGATAGACATCGGTCCTACTACCCTAACTGCTTTACTTTATAGATTCTTGTTCCTGACTCCTGCTTTCCCGTGTTCGTCCTTGTCACTTTCACCTCTACTGCCTACAACTTGCTTCATACATGTACACACATGGAGAGTGGGCAATATTAATTATAAAAAGAGTGGCTATTTGTAGCGCTATACAATGTATTCTGGTTGTGAACATGCGTTTTTAACGTTATTAACCCACCTTTGTTTTTCAAAACATTATTAACTACATTATTTATTTATTTATATTACTTCGAGATTTATGAAGATTCTATATCCTTTATGTTTACCTTAGAGACAACATAAAATATACTGACTTTCTCTAAGGAAATGTGGTTTTATTCTAATTGGATTTTAAAGTATAATTAGAAAGGGAAAATAGGTGACATGCGAAGACATTCTTAATGCGCTTTGTGGGTACAACGAGATAACCATCTCGAAGATAGACATCTCGGTGACATTCAGGCTAAGTGCTGCCACCGTCTGATGATGAGCTGTCAAAACCCACTCCCAATTACCGACACCCCGCTTTTAATGTAAAGTTCCTGTTAGTTAAATATCATGACGCATCGTCCTGCCAGTTAATTATTCACTCAAACGAGTTAGTAACGCCTCTTAATAATTAAATTTATCAATAGAATAATTTCTGTGGCTTTTCTGTCCATTCAAAATGGATTTTATATAGTTCAATCGTTTCATGAAACTCTTCAACGAGGCTCAAGCCCATGTTGCTATGCAATCACATATATGAAAGTAGTGCTTTACATATAACAACTAATCTACATGTTAATATTTTGATAGGGCAGAAAAAAGGGAAATCTTGATAAATGATATAACATTCCTTAAGTCTGAAAAATAGAAAAACAACTAATTCACATAAACGAAACTCAAATTGTTGTAAAAGGCAGTATTTATACTCATGAACAAAACTTAAGGGAGTGGAAAGTCTCCGATGTCGCCGGTCGTTTATTTTCTTAAGAGACAGAGACAATTTTCTTTACACTTGGTTATCTCGTGTGTTTTCAAATAAAGGTCACTGTGTATCAAATATCTTTAAGACTTATTGTCTTAATCTCGATATACTTTCTATAAATTACAACTTTCTTAATGTGTTTTACATGAGGGCATTATAAAATCTTCTGAAGTTAGATTGCTATTTTTTAAATGTCACGTAAGAACTATAAAATGATTTTATTTGCCCATTCCCCATTCTCTAGGAATTGCCTATTTTAGAAAATACACTTCGAAAATCGATGTTAAAATATGTTTTAAAAATATTTATAATTTCTCGCAACACAATGATTTATATTTTTCAGAGTATAAATAAATATTTAAACAATAAAGTTATTATTTAAAAAACAATGCAATATTCCACACACATGCAAATAAATATTGATAATGAAGAATCTTATAAATTAAAAATGAAATTTAATCAGTAATATTAAAAGAAATAGATGTTTATAGTTTAGCATTTTTTTAGTACGAAAAATATATCTAAGAACTTTACAAATGAAAACCATGTTTTTGTGTACTAAATATATATATCATAAACATAAAATTTATCAAAGATTCTGAAGTGTACTAATTTTTTTTTCATAAAAAGTTACAAGAGAGGTAAAGAGATATATAAATATTCTTATTAAAATTTTCTTCTTATAATTTGAAAAAATATTTTCGTGATTTTGCCTTTTATTTCCTCCTCCTGTTTAACCTTTCCTCATATGACGCATAAAGGCATATGCTTCTCTCGAAGGGTTCTTAATAACCATTTAAATAGGAAATATAAACCTAATTCATTCTATCTTTTAATTATCCAAGATAAAATGTGGTACATGCTATGAAATTCATGGTAGGGAGTAGTTGGAAATTGGTTTTACTGTAAGTGCATCGCATGTCTACACATATAGAAAGAAGTTCGACTTTGGAATTTACAAATGTGTCATAGTTTCGTTTGGTTACTTGCACTCATTGGTGGGGTTGGACATTTTAAAGAATCGGGGTCATTGTAGCGTGTTTTTTTTTATTCATAAAAAAGTGCCCAATGCAGGGTTTGAACCCGAGTGGTGGCTGTCGGTATTTAAACCACTTGTTACCCGCCCCCTATAGTAAGTGAACCACATGTCTACACATGTAGAAACATTCGACCATTGTAGTTACAAATGCGCCAGAAAACCTTTTGGCTAATTGCACTCACTGGAGGTGTTGGACTTTTGAAAGAATCGATGGACAATTGGAACTATATTTTATTCATAAAAAGTGGCCAATGTTGAATTCGCTCTCGGGTCGCGGCTGACGGAAATCTACGATTCACACCACTCGTCCACTGAGCCCCAGAAAGGATTGGCTTACATCCCCCGGTGATCCCAAGTACTGACCTTGCCCGACATTGCTTAACTTCGGTGATCGACAGAGAACGGGTGCTTTAAATATTAGATAATAAAAGGCATATAATGGATTTAATAAAATATTTATTTTGCCAATATTCCGGCTGGCTGAACGCCGACCTTTATCGAGGCATTACATTTTTGTATACATAAACTCAGCGCAGCATAGTGTCATATTTATATATATACTAGCCGAATGACCCGGGCAACGCCCGTGTTTTACCCGATTGAATGTTTTTATTCAAATACTATTTGTTGCAATTATAAATTGGAGCCGTGGATGTCACTCTTGTGAAACGTCCCGCTCCAAACTGCTGGTATTACCCCTCATTTTCACCGCTAGAGGCGCGAGCGAATTGACTTTTTGAAAATATACATAATTATAAAGATAGAAGCTTCTATAGAAATAAATAAAATAAGCCGAAATAGCTCAGTTAGGAGAGCGTTAGACTGAATATCTAAAGGTCCCTGGTTCGATCCCGGGTTTCAGCATCTTTTTTTAATTTTTAAATTTCTACTTACCGTAACTTGACACGTGACTCAACGTGACAGAATTGTGCATGACGCTGATAACTGTATTAAATATAATCCAAATTGTGCCTTATCACACACTATTTATTTATTTGGATAAGGTCTTATTACCTTGTGTTTATAATCTATAATCCAAATTGTGCCTTATCACACACTATTTTTTTATTTGGCCTTATTACCTTGTGTTTATAATCTATGACGTAATGCCGGCGGCGCGCGCCCGTTGGCTGCCGGCGAGCACGTGACCTCCCTGTGCGCGCGCATCCGTGACAGAGGCGGCCAATGAGGAAAGACGGTCATGACTATATATATAGATAATAATGATAATTATCGTTAGATAATGATAATGATCATAATGATGCGCGCGCATCCGTGACAGAGGCCATGACGGCCGTGACTATATATAGGGATAATAATAATAATAATATAATAATATTTTATTTTCCAAAAGGTTACAAGTTTTTCTCTAAAAAGTGTAGCGAATGGTCAGTCTATTTACATATTTTATTTACAACTTCAATAAATGACAACAGTAAAAGTAAACAAAGATATTTACATTTGCTATCATGACTCCTGGTCAGTGCTGTGGCCCTTGCCGTTATGGTCCCCTGATGTCCTGCAGCTCTCCAGCAGTCTTTCTATGGCCTCTACTAGTGGCTCCTCGATAAGATGGTCCCCTGGCCTTGATCCATTCTTGTCTGTCAGGTCTCCTGTCATCTGCTCTAGGTCGTTCTCCTGGATCTCTTCTATGGTCGTCGTATCCCTGTGCTCCATGTCCGGTGTTCCACCTTCCTCGTCATCACATGCCAGCTCCCTACATCGTTCCAACAATCTATCCATGGCTTCCATTTCTTTATTTCTCTGTAACTTATCGTAAGGTTCATTCTTCTTTTCTGTTGAGATAATTTCCATCGTCTTTTTTAGCACCAGGGATTGAATACATGCAAAGTCCCTTTTTCTTATGTTTATTTCCTTCCTGTATTGTTTGTTATATTTGGTTACTATTCCATCCCATGTTAAGACTATCGGCACTACTTTTACGGGCATTTTTTCAGTTTGGGCCATTTCCCTCGCCAGTAGCTGGTATTTTCTTTTCTTTGTCAGCTCCATAGTTTGGATATTGTCTTGGGAGGTAACCCCTATCTCTATGATTGTTATGTCTTTTTTTATTTTGTCATATACTATTATATCAGGTTTGTTAGCTCTGATATTGATATCGCTTATCATTGGCAGGATAATATAATAATAATAATAATTATTATTATTATTGTTATCATTAGATAATGATAATGATCATAATGATGATGCGCGCGCATCCGTGACAGAAACCATGACGGTCGTGACTTTATATGTTGATTGTATGCAGACTATGCATATAATGGTGCCGACTTTTGATTTTAATATATATATATATTTAAAACAAAAATCTTCACCACACTGACGAGGGCCAACAGCCCGAAACGCGTACGTGGTTGACTTTTAATGATTTATCAAGAAATTGGTTTAGCCAAATATCTTTGGACCAAGCTAAATCAACGTTTAGTTTATTTTTTTCCAACTAATGACGCTCTGCCATCTAAAATGTTCATGTGAGCGGTCAAGAAAGGCAAATTGTGTTTTCTATATCAACACCTGACCTTCTTTCTATTTTTTCTTGTTTTTCACACACACACATATACATATATATGGCAAACTGTGATGCAATCGAGGTTGATGTAGAGAGAAAGGCTGGATAAAATGCAACATTGACTAAATTCAGGTTTATATTCCGTTTTATATATATAGAGATAGAGATGACGTGGCTGGTCATTCACGGTGCGGAGACAAGGTTCTGGCTGATAGTCGTCTGAAGACAAAATCAGCGGACCAGAGAGACAGTATAACTGTCTATTTTAAAATTGCCATCGTTTGGTCAAAACCTATGAACCTATCGTTTTTATATATTAAATACACAGTCTAGCCATAAATTCTGTTACAAACAATTTTATAAATTAAATGATTAAGAACAAAAACTAATGGAATATATAAATACATATTTTATTAGCCAATAGGACATAGATTATAAATATATTCAATCATTCAAAATGTCCTCTCTTATTTTTGACACAGGATCTTAAACGTTCGGGCCATTGATCGATGGCGGCACGTACCTTTTCTAAGGGTATTTCTTTCTTTGCCCTCACCAATGCTGATTTCAATTGATCCAAATTATGATATCTTTTATAGCACACCTTCTCCTCAAAAATGCCCGCAAACTGTAATCAAGGGGGTTTAAATCAGGGTTTCGAGAGGACCATTCATTGGTCTTTATGAATTACTGAACATTCATCTCCAACTATTGTTGAGTTGACTTAGCTTTGTGAGAAGGAGCTGAATCTTGTTGAAATATCCAATGTTCCCCATTAAACATTTTTGTATTCAGAGGCTTTACTATTTGCTCCTTAATATATTCTTGATAGTTTTTAGCTATAGTTTTTACCCCTTTGGCACAGAAGTGGAGATCTGTTACACCTTGGTAGCTAACTCCGCACCAAACCATGACAGAAGAAGGATGGTGACTTTTTTCAAGTATTCTAACTTTCAAAGAAGCTTCTAGAGAGCTACGAGCATATATTCTATCATTCTGACGATTAATCTTTTCCTCGACAGTGAAAATTTTCTCGTCTGTGAAAAGTATTCTCTCATGCCACCGACCATCATGCTGCGCCAACAACATTTTTGATCTATCCCTTCTAATATCTCTAAGAGCAGGGGTTATCAAATGACCTGTGCGTCGTTTGAAAGCTCTCAGTCCAAGGTCTTCGTTGATTATCCTGGAAACGGTTCTTGGAGCTAAATTCATCTGCTTTGCTAAGATCTTTTGTTTGCGTCATGGTTTTGTCTTATCTTAAATTTGAGAAAAAAAGACAATACTAGGTCCCGATGGCTTAACCTGAACTAAAAGCTCCTAGCTTTACAGTAATGCTGGAAACTGACTTGAAAATTATAAATTGATAAATCAATATCTTTGTTGCAGTGATCAGAAGAATTGAGTCACAACGCTGGATGGCGAGGCCTAAAGTAGAAAACAGTGATGAATAATTTAATACTTATTGAAAGAAATATTTATTTAAAAATCACACAAATTAATATTAATACAAATAATTTTCAAAACAATTATTAAAATTTATGAGAGATAGTTCTTTTTCAGGCCTGTCAAAACCAAACGTTAGCGTCGAGACAGTTTGTTTACCGGAGATGGCGAGGTATTCTTTTCTGCTCGCACATGCGCGGGGGACAGCGGGGGCAGTGTTGCCAGCGTCGGTTGGCCCAAAAGTACCTATGGTCGCGTCACATGGATTTCGACGAATTCTTTCGCAAATGGCTATTATAGCTGCTTGCGTTCTTCGCACGCGCGGTCGACCAGATCTTTCAAGGTTATTAATTGTGCCAGCCTTGTTGAACCTTTCAATGGTTCGATAAACAAATTGACGCGAAATATTCAAATTTTGTAAAAGTTTTAAAATGGACGAATCACTTTGGCCTACCTTGTGTAAGGCTATTACAGCTATACGGTTTTCTTTAACACCCCAAGCCATTATCAAAAAACAAATATATTCCGATTTTTTTTCTAAGCTATTGTGCACGAGATATTCGAATAACAACTACTGTATTTTGAATACTTCACGCGGTCAAATTAAATTTTTATCACTGATTTGGTTTTGTAACAATATTTATGGCTAGACTAAGTATATTCCTGAACCACCATATCTCTGAGCATGATAATACGACGCTCGTCTGTTGTTTCGCAAGTAGACATGCTGGCTCTGTATCCAGACCTGAATTTTTACCTCGCCCTTCTCTGCCTCTTCTAACGTCGTTGCCATGAATTATTGAATGTGTGCTGATTAGACCGAAAAAGACGATATATATGACATATTAGCTTTTTTATAATATATTCACTTATTTTATAATATATATACAGTTAAACCTGTATATAGCGCCCCTTCTAAATAGCGCCTACCTCTCTATAGCGCCAGATTTTAAATACGTAGTACGATGTGATTTACATTAAAAGTGACCTGTCTATAGCACCCTATTTTGGTAAGTCCCAAGAAGGGGTGCTATAGACATGTTTAACTGTATATATATTAGAAACTAGAGAAGGAATATCAAAATTAATAATTCTGTATACAGAGCTAAAACACAAGAAGCGATAAATAATTTGAAATACGGAGAAATAGATTAATTCTCAATTAAACGAAGGTATAATTGAATTAGCGAAGAGACATTAGATTACAGAAGATATTTAATAAAATGTGGAGGAAAAAGAAATTATCTTTATATTTCCAGAATTTTTTTTTTCCAATTAAGGTGACATTTCAGACAACTTCTTTTTCAACGCGAGTTACTCGGAAGCAGAAGAACAACAAAAAAAACGCATTCAATTCCAGCGACTGAGGTTTTTAATTATTTGGTCTCATTCTCGTTAGAGACATTTCTTTCCATAATTAAATTTGTTTTTACATCGTCAAGAATTGAACATT